ATTGATTCAATAAATATTTATTGAGCCCTTTACTTCCGGCCAGGTGCTGGGAATGGAAGGACAAACAAGAAAGACAGTATCTTTCATGGAGCTTACAGTTAGTTCCTGGAGCTTACAGTTGTGGGGTTTTGTTTGTTTGTTTAATTTTATGATCATTGGTGTTTTGCCTACATGTATGTCTGTGTGAGGGTGTCAGAAGCCCTGAAACAGGAGATACAGACAGGTAGGAGCTATCATGTGGATGCTGGGATTTGAACCTAGGTCCTGTGGAACAGCAGCCAGTGCTCTTAACCACTGAGCCATCTCTTCAGTCCTGGGAGCTTACAGTTTATAATTGCAGGTGGAGATGGGTAAAAAAAAAAAGACACCTGTTAAGAAAAAAAAAGTTGAACAAGACAGCTATCTACAGTTTTAAGTATCACAACGTAAAATGTCACACTGATGTGAAGTGGGGATCTGGGTGTGTTGGGGGCAGAGGATGTGGGCCAGTCCAGGTAGGACCATAAAAGCCTGGGTTCAAGGAAGGCTTTGCAAAGATTATTTCCGTCTTGAGAGCAGCAGCATGACGTTCTCTCACACCAGGAGTGTGTCTGAGCCTGAGCAAGTGCAGGCGCCTCCCGTGAAATGGCCTCAGTGTGCTGAAGAACAGAGCAGCCCTTGTGGCTGGGTGGTCAGCAGGGAGCGAGGTGGAGGCTGGCGTAGGAGCCAGAGGCGAGCTCAGGACTGCTAGGGCCTTGGTGATGCTCTCTAGCCCCTCTTCAGAATCACGTCCGGGAGGGGGCCCAGCAGAGCCAGCAGTTACCATCACGCTTTCGGATCCAGTCCTTCTGGGGAGCCCGTTTGCTTTTCTGTCCCACAGGGGACAACACTCCAATTGTCTGGAAGGAGGAAGGTCAAGGCCAGAAAGGTAGAACCCTGGCGACTGGAGCAGCCTGTCCTGTCTGCCTGGGCTGTCGAGGGAGGAAGCGAGAGTCAGTGAATAAACACGGCTGGAGTCTGAGCAGTCTCACAGAGAAGACAGATTGCCCATATGGCTAGGCTTCCCCTTCTCAGAATCCCAGTTTGCACACTGCCTCCTGACAAGCCCTTGTATTCAATGTCCTGCTTACTGGCAGCTTCGGGTTGCCATCTTCATGCTGGGTATTGATCAAACCCAGAGCCCACACAAGGCAAGAAAGTGCCCTACCACTGAGCTGTCCAGCCCTGGCATTAGAGGGTTTTTTGTTGTTGTTTTTAGTTTTGTTTGTTATTTTGCTTTTTGTAACCCTGACTGCCCTGGAACCTGCTTTGTAGACCACGCTGGCCTCAAACTGAGAAATCTGCCTCTCTTTGCCTCTCGAGTGCTGGGATTAAAAGTGTGTGTCGTAGCTGTCACCACCTTGCTGAGCCTTAGCATTTTATGAAGTCATGATGTGTGTGACGACCACTGTCCCCCAGAGAGACCAGCTCCTGCTGTATGCCAGGGGTGGCGGCACACAGGGTGATATCTTTGGGTAGTGTATCAGACCTGTCTTACAGATGAAAAATAAAACAAAAAAGCAAAAGACCCAGAGTGTCACACTTGGCATTCCTTGTCCCCAGGTCACTGAAGGAACAATGAAGGAATAATGAAGCTGGCATTTGTAACTCTTGAGATTTGCTTAATTCTCTATGAAGCTACCACCCTGGAAGTAATAATAAAGCACTCACTAATATGTCTACATAATATTCCTGGGGGAACTTGCTTTAACCATTTTGCTAAAAACAGGGTAGTCTGGTTCTGTCTGCACCTGGGCCAAAGGCTCTTTTACCAGCTTTACTGGCTGTTGGGCCAGGTGCCTCGCAGCTGTAGTTCGGTTGTGGTATTTCTAAGGTGGGCTAATGGCAGTACCTACCTCACTGGGTGGTAAGTATTAAATAGGATACACACTTGAAAGGCTTGTGGGAGCCTAGCACTTAGTAAGCCCTCAGTTAATGCTCTCCTAATCTCCTGTGTCAGCTCAAATGTTCCCTGACCCCTAGAGACAGTGTGGGTACCACCCCCCACATATTCAGCATCTCTCCTCTCTGCCTCCTCCTCCTCTCATAGGTGTTTCCCAAAGCTCAGCATGTGAGGTCTACCGACTGGTTCTTTTCCCCATGACAATGTGAACTTCTGTGGACGGCCTTTGTGTTCCAGTTCAGGCCCCAAGGTCGTGCCTGGCTGTCTAATGACTCTCTGTTCCTGACAACCTTGAGCTAGAACGGTTCATTCTGGAGGAAGTAGTCACCTCTCTGCTTCCCTTGCATGTGCCCTGTGTACTGTCGTCCCCTGTAATTCCATCCCCCCATCTGCATTTCTTATATTTTTGGTTGTGAGCCGGCCTTTGAAGGCTGAGCCATCTCTCCAGCACCCCCACCCCTCTGCATTTCTAACTATCGTCAGTGGATAGAAATTTTGCACAACTCTAAAAAACCAAGCTCTTGCCTCTCCTTCCAAGCCAGTTCCTCCTCCCCTGCCACGGGCTGACAGGTGAAGTGGGCCTTCACCTACCCACAAACCTGGGAGCCAGCCTGCATTCTGCCCCTGTTCACCCTCTGCCTGCAGCTCCCGGCCGCCATGTTGTCACCACTGCCTGTTCGGGAGAATCTTGTACACGGAGCCTGATCTCATTTTGTTTATACAGTGATCCAAGAGGTGAGGTTTTAGAGAGGTTAGAGGTTTACCTAACAGCCAGGCAACCCACTGGTCTCCCAAGCTCCCAGGTAGCAGGCCTGAGTTGGGCGTTAGTCATTGATCTGTCAACCTGGCTCCCCTGGAACAGCCCTAAGGCTCTTGGTCCCCTTTTGCATTTTTACCCCCTGTGTAGTTAGCTCTACCCAGTTGGGTCTGCTCCTGGCCCCTACCTCCATCCACTGCCCCACATGCCCAGGCACAGCCAAGCCTTGCAGTCTCTTGTTAGAAGACTACACGTGCTGCCACAGGCCCACGATGCCCTCTGTCTCCACTTATGGAGTCTTTTTTGTCCTTCCATGTTCTGCTCATAAGCCACATCCTCTGTGGCAGTGTTCAGACAGCGTCCCAGATTGCCACTCCCAACCTGGATTCCTCAGAGCATTCCAAGTCATAATTCAAGTGAACACATTTCTGAATCTGAGGTGGGGATGTGAACATTTAACCAAGAGCATCCTCCTGGAGACAATGAGATAGCTCATGGAACAAATCCAAGAAAATGCCCCTTGCCCCTCCACGGCCCTGTGAGTCTCAGGCAGGGCCTTCTAAGGGCAGGAGCCTGCACTGGACATGCTGTCCAATGTGCTGTTATTTGTGTTTATTTGGTTTTTCAAGACAGGGTTTTTCTGTGTAGCTTTGGAGCCTGTTCTGGCACTTACTCTGTAGATCAGGTTGGCCTTGAGCTCACAGAGATCCACCTGCCTCTGCCTCCCCATCCCGAGTGCTGGGATTAAAGGCATGCGCCACTACCCAACACTGAGTTATTTGTTGAATGTATGGATAATGGTGAAGGTTCTTCTGTTATGGTAGGGTTGGGTTTCTTAATTTATTATTTTTTAATTGAGACAAGGTCTTGTGTATCCCTGGTTGGCCTTGAACTAGCAATGGGGATGATCTGGAATTCTTGACCCTTCTGTCTGTCTCCCTAGTGCTGGGATTACAGGTGTTTGTCACTGCACCTGGTGTGTTAGGGCCGAGTTTCTGTCCCAGGGCCTCATGCCTGCTCTGCTGAGTCAGCACTGCCACCCAGCATCGGTATATGAGCAGCAGGCCCCTCCTTTTGTTCTACCTCAGGGAACATCTCTCCCAACCTCTGTGTCCTTCTCTCAATGAGGATGATAGTTGCTTCTTGCAGGGGTTAGGTTGCCAAGAAGATTAGATGAGTGAACCAAATGAAGGAAGTTAGCGCACACAAGCCTGGCTAAGGAGTCTTTGTTATAGGCACAAAATATGTGTGGCTCATAACTAAAAACAGGAACTGGGAAGTCAAGGTCCTATTCTACAATAACCTTAAAGTTAAGATTTCATTGGGGAATTTTTAAAATATTACTTTGTTAATTATGTGTATATATTTGTCTGTGCATGGGTTTGTGCACATGAATGCAGTGCCTGTGGAGGGTGAAATTATAGGTGGGTTTTAGCAGCTCGACAAGGTACTGGGAACCGAACTCACGTCTCTCTAGCTATCCCTAGCCTGCCTTTTTTCTAGGCAGGGTCTCAGCTATATGCCGTTTTGCATGGAGCTGGCTATGGAACTCTAGCTGGCCTGTAATTCAAATATCAGACCGCCTCTGCTTCCTGAGTGCTGAGATTAGAGGCAACAGTCACTATGCCTGACTTCCCCAGCACCCCTTAAAAATATGTTTTTGAATTGGGCATGGTGGCACTTGGGAGGCAGAGGCAAGTGGATCTCTGTGTGTTCAGAACCAGCCTGGTCTATATGGTTAGTTCTAGACCTGCCAAAGGCTATATTGTGAGACCCAGTCTCAAACAAAACAAAAATTCCCAGTTTTGCATTTGCCTATTTTGTGTGTGTGTGTGTGTGTGTGTGTGTGTGTGTGTGTGTGTGTGTGTGTGTGTGTGTCTGGAGGGGGGCAGGAATACATGAAGGTTAGAGGACAATTATGGGAGTCGGTGCTGTCTTCCCACCACTCGGATGCCCGGGGAATACATCTTTTCAAGTTTGGCAGCAAACACCTTTAGCCACTGATTGAGTCCACCAACCTTCAACGCGGCATCTGAGAGTTAAGCCAGTGGAGAACAGTATTGGCATTTGCTTGGGTTTGCCAGCCCTCGCCCTCCGGCATGTTAGCCTTCTCCCACTTTACCCAAGCACTTTATCAGCGGGCTGGTTCACCGCTAGTCAAATCCTACCCGGAATCACCTGGTGAGCATTTTACGGATTGCAGGTGGCTACCCCAAAGCTCCTGCATCAGAATTAGGAGTAGTAAATGTGCCCTTCCAAAAGTCGCCGCCCCGCGGCTTTGGTAGTCAACAAGGCTGGGAGCCACAGGTTCACATACCACTCAAAGAGCTGGAGCTCCACACAGAGAAACTTCTCAGCATTTTTGATAAAAAGAGCCGTAGCGTTCTCAGTACCTTCCCTGTGGTCTGCAGGGGGATAAACCTCTCAAAACAATAGGAGAGATCGGGAGCAGAACGCGCCAGCCTTCCCACCTGCCCAGCACCCCGCAGTATTTTCCCAGGTCCTACCGCGGCAATTTAAATGCTAATATGCAGTTAAGCATATTATGATGTTTATGAGGGCCTTACTCTTCCTCGCTTTCTCTGGTTAGGGAAGTCACATGTTTAAATTCTTTGACCTTTCAAACTTTAAAAAAAAAATCTCATTTTGGTGTTTTCTCAGCAGATCCTGTAAAATCGACGGAAGGCTTCCATCCCCTGAACCTGAGCCCTGGGATTTCAATGTGCTGAGTCACAGTCTTCTCAGGGCCAGACACTTTCACCCAGGAAAAGCCCCGTAGAGCACCACGGCGGGAGCAGCGAGCTGGTACGGTGTAATTTGAATATGAACGAGAAGCCTGGAGAGGAGGTAGTGCATATTTATGTACTAATTTATTTTGACTTTTAAACTAGTGTTTAGAGAGCAGAAATCGCCTTTCTGGTTGTTGGTTGTTGGTGAACAGTATTCCTTCCTGGGGCTGGAGACGGTTCAATTCCGAGCTTCCAAATTGTGGGACTCACAACTGTAGCTCCAGATCCAAGGAATTGGGCGAAGTCTTCTGGCCTAATCTGGCACTATGCTGGCACAGACAAACATGCAGGCAAAACACCCACACACTGCTCCGAGAAAATGAAAATGAATGTTAAATCACTGTCTTGTGGTGGTTAGAGAGGGAGAGAATCGCTGCTATTATTTAAAAGATTCAGTTAATATTCTCAATTTAGTTTTATAAAGATAATAAGGAGAAAAAATAAAAAAGAATAAACCAGGTCTTAAATCAGCTGGTCTGTTAGGAAGTCAGTTTTTCTATTTTTGAATGTGTCCTTGAGTGGACTGGAGACGTTACGGCTGTATCAAAGGAGGAAGTGTTGAGTGGACAGGGGACATTGCTACTGTATGGGCACAGGGCCGTGGCAGGGCGGGGTGCTGCTGGTGGTGTTATGGCCGCAAGCTACAGTTTCCTAAGAATCAGTTTGTAGGAATTGTAAACAATGTAGAGAGCATATATAAATGCACGAGACTGAACAGTCTGGCTGGCTGGGAGAGGAGGCTCATGCTTTTCTTTAATCTTAGCCCTTGGAGGCAGAGGCAGGTGGCTCTCTTGAGTTCAAGGCCAGCCTGGTCTACAAGGTCTACAAAATGAATTCCAGGACATCCAGGGCTATACAGAGAGACCCTGTCTCAAGGAGAAAAAACAAAGACTGAGCAATTTATATTTAGAGGGACTGTGTTATTTTTATAGCATAGAAGTGTTTGTTTTCTCCCTAGCCCTTTGGGGTCCCCCAACAGGAAGCCAGGGAGCTGCTCGGTGTTGAGTGAGGGCCACTGGTCCTTCCGCAGGTGATAACTTCCTATAGAACCAATACACCAGCAGCCCTTCCTTCAGACAGCTTTGAGTAGTCGAGGGAACAACTGATCTCTCCATGCAGCCCACTGCAGTTCTTGAGCCAACCAGTGCCTGTGAGGTGTCAGAAGCAGCCACTGCCCTATGGGCACCTCCGCCCTGTGTGCCGGCAGCTGCTGGGCGCTTTGTGTATCACTCCATCCTTACCGTGCCCTGGAAAGGAGGAGCTGTCGTTTTTCAGTGTCTCAGAGCAACTGAGCATTCCCGAAACACTCAGACTTGGTGAAGAGTGGGAATCTGAGTCCAGAGAGGGTGACCAGCATCCTTGTGACTAAGCACTCCGGAGGCTGCTACCATACTCATAAAAGTGACTGGTCACCAGCAAGTCATGCTAAGTACAGGAAGAGTGTCATCCGCCAAAGCCCTTGCTTTCCCTGTTGAACAATGAAGGGGGAAGGGGTGGGATGGGAAGAGAGGGCAGAAAAGTCGCTATTGTTCCGTGTGTGTGTGTGTGTGTGTGTGTGTGTGTGTGTGTGTGTGTGTGTGTGGCACAGAGGGACTCAGGAAGACTTCAGATGGTTTCCTGTAAGTAATACCTACATATGAAAATGAAATGACTTAAGCCATTGATCATGATCTTTATCTAGTTATATTTGATGGATATAAGAGAGCTTGGCATTAAAAAGCAAAGACAGGGCCAGTAAGTAAGATGCCAAGTCTGACTCCAGGAGTTCTGTCCCTGGAGCCCATACGGCTGGAAGAGAGAGCTGATCCCTGTAGGCTGCCTGCCGATGTCCATTTATGTCCACGCACATGCTATGAAAACACCCCAGACCCCTTTCACTTATAAATAAATGCAGAAAATAAAGACAAATCCCAGTCCCCTAAACTAACGTCTATCTGTCACTCTACCTGTGAGTAGACCTGGAAGGGGCCAAGTGTGCTCTGGGGAGAACAGGGTCCTTCCTGAGGCAGGACAGGGGCCCAGCGCTTCCCAGAATGCAGCAGGGTGGCCCAGCACGATGAGCTGTAGTCAGCGCCTGCAAAGGGAATCTTCTGTTCCCACTTCCTGAGAGGCTGAGCCCTGGGAGGCACCGTGCAGAGACTAGAGATGCCCCGGGCCCTGGCATCAAAAGCTGTCGGGAAACGGAGACCAGAGCAAGGAAGGGGAGCAGAGTGAGGCAGCCCCAGGACGACCTGGGTAGAGGACACCAGAAACGTTGAAGAATTGCCTCTGGCCACACCTAGGAAGGGCCAGGAGGGGTGAGCTGAGTGAGGCAGGAAGGTAAGGCCCGAGAGATGAGGGGGTAGGGCTAGATAGTGAACGGTTTCCCATGCTAAGGCAGGAAGCCAGGCCTTAGACATGCTGGGTGAGGAGAGGGCTCTGCCACGCCCCTGTCCCCCTACCTCACTGTGTAGCACCATTTTAGGGACTTGATTTAAAAAGAGCAATATGTATCAGGGGGCTGGAGGATGGCTCAGTGGTTAAGAGCACAGGCTGCTCTCGTAGAGGACCCACACGATGGCTCATGGCCTCCACAATTCCGCTTCCAGGCAACCCAATGGGACAAATAACTGAGGTGCCTGTTTGACATGCCACAGTGGCACACCCCCACCCCCACTCAGGTCTCCAGCCCAGAGGCTGGGCTGCCCTTGTGTGATCCAGCCATTTTGGTTACTGCCCCACCCCAACCCCACTGCCATTTTTTAACCTTTTGCTCTCTTGGCTGCTATACCTGGTTCCTCTCTCTCCCCTCTCCCTTCCCTTCCTTCCTTTCCCCTCCCCCTTCTTTCTTTTTGTTTTTTGTTTTTGTATTTCAAGACAGGGTTTTTCTCTGTAGAAGTCCTCACTGTCCTGGAACTAGCTCTGTAGATCAGGCTGGTCTCGAACTCACCAAGATCTGCCAGTCTCTGCCTCCCTGAAGCTGGGATTAAAGACGTGCGTGACCACTACCCGGCTGCCCTCCCCTTTTTTTCTCATTCGGCTCAGGGTCATGTCCACCCTGGACTCTCCCAGATGTCTCTGCCTCTGGCTATGCTCTCCCTCTTATGTACAGCAAACTGTCTCCTCCATCTCACCTAGGAAGAGTCATGTCCTTCCTTTCCAATTCTTCTTTTCATTCCGTTACTGTGAGAAGCCTCTTTGGGTACCAGGCATGCATGAAGTACAAAAATATACAGGCCAGCAAAGCAGCATTTACACACATAAAACAAATGGATAGTTAAAAAACAAATGTGTGTGCGCACATACGTGTGTGTGTGTGTGTGTGTGTGTGTGTATGTGCCACATATTTGTGTCACTGAATTCAAGTGGAAGTCAGAGGACAACCTGCAGGAGTGAGTCCTTTGTGTCTTTCCAGCTCTGAACAGAGAAGGACACAACATGACAGAGTCCAAAAGAGTGCCTTGGGTATGGGGAGATGTCTCAGTGGGCAAGAGTGTTTGTCTCAGATATGGGAACCTGCGTTCAAATCCCTAGCACCCACGTAAAAAGCTGGGCATAGCTGTGTATCCTGTAACCCCGGTGCTGGGGGACAGAGACAGGCGAATGGTGGTGGTGGGTGGTACATGCTGGCCATCCCTCCTGAGATGCCACGCTTCAGGTGCCCTTAGAGACTGTCTAAAGACAATAAAGTGTGGAGTGCCGGGACCCGACACCTGGTGTCCTCCTGTGGCCTCTGGAGGCACATGTGGGGGTACCCCGCCTCCACATACATGCTTGTGCTTCCTCTCTCTCTCTGATTGCTGTGAGAAGCCAGGCCTAGTGGCTCATGCCTCTTGTGCCTAACCCTGAGAAGCTGAGGTAGGAGGATGGTTAATGAATTCCAGGCCCCCTAGGCTACAGAGTGAAACCCTATTTAATTTTTAAAAAAATGTTTACTTGTTGTTTTACATGTGTGGATGATTTGCCTGCATATATGGCCAGGTGTGCCTAGTTTCCCCTGGAGCGAGAGGAAGTTATCAGATCCTCTAGAACTAGAGTTACAGATGGTTGTGAGCCACCATAAGAGTGCTGGGAATGGAACCCAGGACCTCCGGAAGAGCAGTTAGTGCTCTTAACTGCTGAGCCATCTCTCCAATCCCTGAGATCCTATTTAAAACGAATTAAACTAGTCAGGCACGGTGGTGCACTCCTTTAATTCCAGCACCCTGGAGGCAGAGGCAGGTGGCTCTCTGTGAATTTGAGGCCAGCCTGGTCTACAGGATAGGCAGAGTTATTGCACAGAGAAACCTTGTCTTGAAAACCAAAACCAAACTAGAACAAAACAAACTAAATTTAAACAACCATCCTCCCCCACCACCACCACCAAAAGAAAATGAGGAGGCACTGCAGAAATCTCAAGAAGAAGAAGAAGAAGAAGAAGAAGAAGGAGAAGGAGAAGGAGAAGAAGAAGAAGAAGAAGAAGAAGAAGAAGAAGAAGAAGAAGAAGAAGAAGAAGAAGAAGAAGAAGAAGAAGAAGAAGAAGAAGAAGAAGCAGCAGCAGCAGCTGAGTGGTGGTGGTGCATGTTTGTAGTCCCAGCACTCGGGAGGCAGAGGCAGGGAGTTCGAGACCAGCCTGGTCTACAATAGCTAGTTCCAGCACAGGCTCCAAAGCTACACAGGGAAACCCTGTCTTAAAAAAAAAAAAAAAGACAAAGTGCGGGTTTCTATTAAGGCTCCTGACAACTGCGGGCAGATTCTAGGTGGAAAGGTAGAACCAACAGGTGTTATGCCTTGGTGGGATGTGGAATCGAGCAGAAAGGAGAAATCGAGAGCTGACTGGCTTAAGCGTTTGGTTTGGGAGGAACGCCAAGGGTTCATGCCCACCTGTATCCACTCAGTATCCATGGAGACCGGCGAGCAAAGAGTGGGGGGGGAGGGGTGCTGATGTGATGACACACACTGGAAATCACCAGAGTATAAATATTTAAAGCCTGAGGCAGAGGTCATAAAAGGAGTGCTCGCTGATTGATAAGAGAGATGACGGGAAGGACTCTGAGGCACACCAGTCCTCCAAGTTCTAGAAGAGGGGGGATCAGTGGA